TAATGATGGCTACATGTCATTCATTATACATTTGTTCAAAGTCAAGAATGCACACCACCAAGAGTGACCCCCTAATGTAAGCTATGAACTTTAGGTGATTATAATGTATCAAGGTAGGTTCATCAATTGTAACAAATGTCCCACTTCTGGTGGGAGCACGTGTGGGACAGGGGTATATAGGAACTCTCTGGACCATCCTCTCAATTTTTCTGCGAACCCAAAGCTGCTCTTTAAAAAAAATTAAATCTTAAAAAAAAAGTTGTCTATGCTCCCTGTTTCCACATCCTCTCATTGGTCTATCACTTGAACCTGCTATTTCAGAGGTCCCCACTGGCATGGCTGCTACCTTCCATGGCATGGATACATTTAGTTCTTGTCCTGCCTGACCGGTCTCTGACCTCCTGACCAGTCCCTCCTCCTTGAAGCGTCACTGCTTCCACTGACTCACCCTTTCTGCCTCCCTCGAAGGTTCTTCGTCCTCTGTCCATCTCCCAAATCCTGGTGCTCCCCAAGGTTCTGTCCTGGTCCCTTCTCCCTTCTCCCTCTACAGATCACTCATATTTGTGGATTCAATGTGCAGACTACTCCCAAATCTGCATCTTTTGTCCCAGCATCTCTCCTCTGCTCCACAACTGTATTTCCAACTGCCAACTAGACAAATATGTTCAGATATGCCTCCGGCATCAGTATATTTAAGGACTTTTTTTTTTTTTTTTTTTTTTTTTTGGGTGGTCCGCGGGCCTCTCTGCTGTGGCCTCTCCCGTTGCGGAGCACAGGCTCTGGACGTGCAGGCTCAGCAGCCATGGCTCACGGGCCCAGCCGCTCCGCAGCACGTGGGATCCTCCCGGACCGGGGCGCGAACCCGTGTCCCCTGCATCGGCAGGCGGACTCTCAACCACTGCGCCACCAGGGAAGCCCCGGCATCAGTATATTTAAACCTGAAGGCAACATCTCTGTTTCCAAACTTGCTCTTCTCCTGGGTCTCCTGCTCAGGAAAGGGCATCGCAATCCTAAATCAGAAACCTACACGTCATCCCAACCTCTCTCCCCTCTCGTCATCCAAACGATCATCCAGTTCTGGCAATTCTACCCCTCAGTTACCTCCATGGCACCTCCCAGCCTGTCGCCACGCAGTCCAGGCTGCCAGCAAATCTCTCCTGACACTGCAACCTTGCCCTAATCATTTCCTCTATCTCTGGTCAGGATCCATCAATAGCTCCCCTCTCGAGATACACTCCAACACTGACATATTACTCCAAGGCCATCCAGGACCAGCCCCCGCCTGTCTCGCCATCTCTTGCCACTTCTTCCAAGCATTCTGTGCTCCAGCCAGACCGAATTCCTCTAAATTCCCGGTGCCCTGCTGCACTTCTCCCCTTTCTGGCCCTTTGCACACACTGTTCTCTATACCTAGAACACTTGTTCCCTTAGGACCCTCCTCTCCTTCAGGCTAAACCCTCCATCCTTCAGTTCTCAGACCAAAGGCCAGTTCTAGAAAGTCTGCCATGATCCGCCCTCCCCACAAACTAGGTTGGAAGCAATCACTATACTTTATCATTGTTGTTCATTCTATTTTATGTCTTCCCCGCTAGATCCCAAGTTCCTTGAAGGCAGGGCTTCTGCATCCTGCCAATCACGGTAATCTGGAGCCTGGCAGAGCCTCAGCATAGAGAAGCTTGGTAAAGTATTGAGAACATGTACACAAAGCTTTTCCTAATCCTTACTTTGTGAAAACATATCCCCACTTCATTAAGGTAGAAATCACAGCAGTCGGAGAAGCTAAGGACAGAGCAGAAGAGGGATTCATCCAATGTTTTTAGATTTCAAGCAGCGCTCTTTCCAAGCTCCTGATTTTCCAAAGCTGGATTGCCTTGGGACAAAGAGAAACTTACTTTTCTTACATTTTAACTCACCTAAAAGAGGAAAGTGGCAACTGTTGATAAGACAATGAACACAGCACTGCAGCACAGTTCCTGGTAACGTTAACTGTTATTGGGGCAGATACCACAATCCTGCAGTCCTTTCAAGTAATTTCTGGGAAAATTCCTCAACTTACTTTCCTCTGTAAAGATTCACTATTCCTGCCTTGATCACCCTACGTAAAATCCGCTTTCAAACCATCTAATATTCTCACCAAAGCACAAAAATATTACAAGGATCAGCCATGCAAAGACTATAAAGGAGACGTGAGGCCTCTCTAACAAGCAGAATTCCAAATGCACAGAATGAACACTGTGTTCTGATCACGACAGAGCCAAGGAATCTGGAGAAATTAAAAAGTGGATCACACTTTAAAGAAGAGTCCTGGGCTTCCCTGGTGGCGCAGTGGTTAAGAATCCGCCTGCCAATGCAGGGGACACGGGTTCAGGCCGTGGTCCGGGAAGATCCCACATGCCGCAGAGCAACTAAGCCCACAACTACTTGTACGCCACAACTACTGAGCCTGTGCTCTAGAGCCCGTGAGGCACAACTACTGAAGCCCGCGTGCCTAGAGCCCGGGCTCCGCAACAAGAGAAGCCACCGCAATAAGAAGCCCGCGCACCACAACGAAGAGTAGCCCCTGCTCGCTGCGACTAGAGAAAGCCCGGGTGCAGCAACAAAGACCCAATGCAGCCAAAAATAAATAAATAATTTATTTAAAAAAAAGAGTCCTAACACTGTTGCAGAAAACGACTTCTTAGATCATTTAAAATCCAAAATTTAAGAAGCAACGCATACGTAGGCAACAAATTCAGAAAAACCAACGTGATCTGGCACTATACATGTGCATGCTCAGTTTGGGGTACATTAATTGTATTTTAGTTTCTATTTCAGTGTGTGCTTTTCTTGTAACAAATACATGAAGGGACAGAATTTTTTTTACACTTAAATTCGTCAGCTCCATTTTTTTGGTCCCCACTTGGAGCATCAATGAAGGAGGTACAAAAACACTTCTGGCCCCATTTTATTCTTCATCAGTTTGAGAAATTACATATGTGTAGAAAGTGAATGAGGGTATATTTTTACTATCAAACATTATTGTTACGGGATTTATCTAGAAGTTGACAGAAATTATTATTTACAAAGGTAAATAGTACTACAATGTAAGTCGAAATTTTCTTCGATAAATTGCCCTTACTCAAATGCACTACCGTCTCACACACTGATCTAGGCAGGAAGGCACAGTCCAAAGCCAATGCCCAGACATTCATGTCCTTGGAATCCTCTTCCACTTATCCTTTTCAGCTTCTGACTTTGATATCGAGGCCTTTTTAAGCATCAGAATCAAAATGCGTTACATCATCCCCACCTGCAGCCCTCCCAGCCCTGTACCCAGCTCTTCTCCTGAATAAGAAGCAAGCCCTAGTGATATGAACTTGTTCTCGGCATCCCTTTCTGGCCAGGACTTCACCTCTGCCCTCACCATGTGCCCAGGAGCTCACACTCTCTCAGCCTAAGCCCGCCTCACTTCCCAGGATGTAATCACAAAAGTCTGACTGGCCTTGAACTCCTTTGACCTGCCATCTCCAGGAACGAGCCTTTATTTTACAGTGATGTCAGAGTCACTGTATACACACTACACATATCTCCACCTCTACCTGCCTGGGAAAACTGTGTTCTCCCCTTCATCGTCCTGTTTGGGGCACATAGCAGAAACACAGTCAGAGTGGGTAACTGGAACATGTGTTTAACTTGAGGCAAACTGTCCTCCGGGCTTGCCCTCTTTATACAGTTCTTACAAAACAAACTTATACTCTTAAGCAGGTTATCTCAGTTGCCTGTCTTACAAGATAACCTATGGATAATATTAAACCATCTATTCTCATCTACCCTAGATATTTTTATCTACTTTTTACAAAGTTTTCTCTTGAACTTCCTTAAATCCAGACGTTATGACCGTAACTTAGGACTATAAAGCAACGCAAGTGCCCTAGACAAGCACACAACATTTGGATTATCCGCACACGACATCTGGATTACCCGCATGTCTCTGCTGCGGTGTTGTGTCTACTCCCCTCCAGCTACAGCATCCTTGCCACCATTCTCCGCTGGGCTTCTCTCTATGTCTTGACTTTCCCGCTGAGGTGCTCCTTTTCCTGTGCAACTCCAGGCAAGCTTGAGGATTACATATACTGTTTACAGTATATGTATTTATTAAAGGCCCAAATCCACAGTTCAGCCTTCCTCACAGATCAGCTGCCATACTTTCCCAGCTTCTCGCCAGGGAAGTCCTCCCTGGTGATGGAAAATCTCACTTCCTTGTGCTGTGCTCTCCTTTCCTACATGAGAATCCACTCAGGCTTTCTAGAAGTCACAGCTGTACCTGCTTCATCTCATCTGGATTAATTATCAACCAAACCGGTGACCCAGCACAGAACTCAGCAGCACGCCCTCAGTGACCCCATTACCACCAATGTCCTTAGCACCCATTACCTCCCTATACTTAAGCTGAAGGAACTTATCCCAAGCGGACTGACTTGTGTTTTGTTAACTTTTCCCCTAGGCTGCTCATGTCAATCGTTCACTTTTCAAATTTGCAGCTGGGATTCGACTTTATGGAATTGAGAGCAACAGGGCATCACTTCTCACTCTTTGAAGGAAAGGGTTGGCCAGTTTCCCTTGGGAGCTTCTCAAAAAGGTGCGAAAAAGAAAGGTCGAGAACAATGTGGGTTTTAACCAGTCTTCTGGTACCTTCAGACCCAAACACTCCCACGGAGGGTATCATGACTGTCCTGTGCTCCTGGAGAAGCACCGCGCGCCCAGGTCCTGACCGAGACTCTACGCGGGCACTTGGTCCTAGCTTAGAAGTAACACCTGGGTGAGGGATCCTGTCTTATCAACCGTTGGTGGCACCGGGAAGCAAGGAATAAAAAAGCGAACACAGAAAGAACCCAGAAGAGAATCCCAAATACCGAGAGCCTCCTCGTCTCCCGTCGTTCCTGGGAAAAGCGGGCTGCCAAGCCTGGGCAGGAGCGGCCGGGCCGCGTCCCTCCCGCCGCGCGCCCACGCCGCCTCCTTACCTTGCGGGAGTACGGGGGCTTGCTCAGGTGGATGCCGTCGCGGACGAGCTTATCCCTGATCATGATCTTCAGCTTCAGTTTCGGGTAGCTCACCAGCTCCCTGCCGCGAGGGGCGGTCGTCAGGCTGCGGGGATCCCCGCGGGGGCCCTGGGCCTGGCCGCCGCAAGGCTCCCCCCGGCGGCGAGTGGGGACGGCGACCGAAGGCGGCCCGGGTGGCGCGGGCGGCGGCTGCGGCTCCAGCGTGAAGTAGAGGCCGGCGGCGGCGGCGTCCTGCTCCCGCAGCCGGCGCACGGCCTCCAGGATGCGACGCCGGTGCGCGGGCGCCAGCACCCCGATGGCGTCCAGGTCCGGGTCCCCGATCTGCTTGCACACCTCCAGGTCATCGTAGCCGTTATCCACGAAGGACTCCGCGTACTGCGGGAGCTGCAGCGCTTTCAGCCACTCGTAAACTATGTTGGTGCACATGGTGGGACTGGAACCCCCGCCGGCAAACGGCGTCCCAGCGCCCGAGCGGCACGGGCGGCACCAGTTCTGAGAACTTTTAATCCTCTCTTCCAAAGGGCAAGAAAAAATCTCAGTGAAGTTTTCCTTTTAAAGAAAAGGATAGGGCCGGAGATAGAAAGCCATCAGAAGCCTGAAGAGGGAGAAGCGGAAAAGCGGCAAAGTGAATTCCCCAAGCAGCCTGGAGCTCGCAGGCACTGGCGGCTGGGGGAGCCGCTCCGCGCCGCCCCTAGATTCTCC